CCCCAATCTACCCCAGGATCTCTGAGATCATGAGCCACACCTGGTACCTTGAGGTACGTAGAAAAAACATTTTAAAGCTGTGTCTATGTCCAAATTGGCATTGAATCTTCAGCTTTGGGTTCAGCTGAATTGATTCAGATCGCTGTCCCCGATTCAATGAATCGAATCACTGTCCCTGATTTGCGCCAAATCTGAATCAAATAGGGCCTGCTTCACACATCCCTATGAGTCGCCACTCAAGTTGCTCGTGAACCACTTGAGACTCATGTCATCCTTTGGTACCATTACACTGGTCACTCTCCATGTCTGTTCTGGCTTTTCCCCCACTTGGTATCTGCCTTATGTAACTGGATTGCAAACTGTTCAAAGCAGGGCCTGTCTCTATAGTGTCTAGCATTCTTGGTGGCCCCCTAAGCACTACCATGAAAAGCTTGATTACTTATGTTCTCTGTGTGTTCCTACTATTCTCATTGCCAAGAGTGCAATTGTCAGAAGCATTGTCTACTCCTGTATTATTGAAGTCCCTGGGAGTTTGGCTCTTAACTTCAAAGAGCTCAGGATCAAGCCCTAACAGCATCAAGCTGGAAACCAAATGTTCCCACTCCTGCAAAGACAGTTAAATGAAGGAGCTATAGCTCAAGACAAGAGGGACACGGGGGAGAGACCAACCGAACAGGAAACGCTTTTTTCTAATTATTTTTTTCTAATCCCGTATTGGGCACTGTGCTTCACTGAAAAAAATAAAAGGCAAGAAAAATAAGCACGGGTGTTGCAAATTTTGAAGCAAAGTGCCATTATAGAACAGATCCTGGAAAGACCTGCAATTTATGCATCTGATCTTCAGAATCTCCCTTTGTGAAGATTTAATACTATCCCTGCAGAAAACTGTGCCCCACATTTTGTAGTTTGATGTCTGGGCTGAGGATCAGCTGAAACTCAAGCCTGTATATCTGTAGTTATAGGAATGCTTTGGATGATAAGAATAGTAGGCTTTTATAATGCATTATTGATATACTATAATATTCCAAAATATTCTGATACGTGGATGGCTATTCCTCTCTCTCTCTGCCTCTACTTTAGGCATACCTGCTATTGTGGCAGCTGATCAGGCCTATTGTTCATTGACATTACTATCTTATCTGGAAACAGAAAATCAATTTGTCTTTTAAACTGATGCAAGACTGGTTGACTTC